CAACACGGTAGGTGCAGTGACAGGTTCCCACTGGCTAGTCCTTATATGTGATAAAAGAAGAAGAAAATAACCAATGATGGACATTTAGGCCAGCTGTAGTAAATTGAACCAGGTGGACACCTTGGCAATACTGTGAAAATCAGACTCTCTGAATAGAATTTGGTAGTGCCGCTGAAACAAACCAGTGGTTGAATGGTAGTCAGTCAATGCAGAAGGTTGAAACTGCCCTTATCTACCACATGAACTGAAGATACACAAGTTCAGGGTTTGCTCTGTTTATGCATGGCTATTTCAGCTTATAGAAAACTGCCTGATATATATCAGGACTCAAAAAATAGCTGTATGAGTGTATGCATTTATGGAAGAATTGAAGAGAGACCCAGGATCCAGACAGCTCTTCAGTCTCTGGTACTGCCCCCTCTGCATTTTGACTTCTATCGGTCCTTGAGCTACGTGAGATACCCCAAGGCCACTAGACTTCTTGTTTTCCCCTTTCTTATGTAACCTCATGATTATTTCTGTTTTTCCTACAATAAGAATTTTAATAAAGACTCACTCATTCCCTTTCCTTCATGTACCAATCCATTCCTTATGTGCTTATTCATTCCTTTAAAGATAAGGTGTGATTCCCATGAACAATGCTCCATTCTGGGCTTAAAGAACACAGAAGTGACATATACTAAAGGTGGCTCTAGGTAAATGGTGCCTAGCGATTAGAACACATTGAGTTGAAACATGATAATGGAGGCACATTGCAAGCGATGGGATGCAGGGAAATGACACAGTGGGGTCAGCAGCGCCAGATGTTTGTGCAGCTCATTTGAGCTTATCACTTAATGTTAATTTTCTCATTCTTCTTTGGAACAGTATAAAGGAATAATCTCTCCCTAATGACAAGTTTGCTTTCAGCATTACATAACTGCATGGCTTTACTTGGGTTGCCATGACAAGAACCAGATTAAGTGGATAAAGCAACAAAAATTCAATGTCTCACAGATCTGGAGACTGAAAGTCTCTATTCCAGGTGTCAGCAAGGTTGGTTTATTCTGTGGGTTCAGAGAGAAGCATCAGTTCCAGGCCTGTCTCTTGGCTTAGAAATGACCTTCTTCTCTCTTTGTCTCTTCTTCACATGGTCCTTTCTCTGGGTATGTAACTTTGCCCAATTAGTCCATTTTTGTAAAGATACCAGTACAATTGGATTAGGACCCACCACAACGATCTCAGTTCAGCTCTATTACTTCTGTAAAGAACCAATCTCCAAATAAGATCACACTCTAAGGGTTAAAGTTTAGTACTTCAACATGTGATTTTAGGGGGAACACAATTGTCCCATATCCTTAATGTAAGTCTGTGAAAATTTGTGTGCACAATGGAGTCAATTCCTGAACATTTACAAAGCGCTTATCATATAAGGTTGTAAAGTCATGTCCAACTAGGGACAGAAACAATCTGATCTTAGGTCAAAGTCCTAAGGAGACAGCAAGAGATTGGATCTCAGCCCAGGTCATCACACAGTTCAGAACATCTAGTCTCTGTTAATAGAATAGAACGATCTGCCCTGGGACATTCTACCTTTAGAATGCAAGTGATAACCATATAAGTTAAGTATCTACTGGATGTCAGACAGTGGCACAGAGGGTAAAATAGCTTCTGTGATGCAATCCCAGCTGCGAAGTTTGCTGCTTCCTATCCAGAGAACTTTCTGAGTATACAAGGCAAGCACATATCCAAGAGTAGGCCTGGGTGAAACAGGATGGATCACAATGTCAAAGTCCTACTGGGGATATTGTCTTGCTTACTCTTATTTTCTCTCTTACTGAAGAAATAAATTTAAAACATTTTTAAAAGAGAAATGTGGTTCCCTCTTGCTAATTTTAGTATCTTTTCTTTGTCTGTATTTTTGGCAATAGGACTATCATCTGCCTTGGAGAAGATCTTCTTGGGTTTATTGTATTTAGAGTTCTTTGTATTTCTTGGGTCTGGGTATTCAGTGCCTCTCTAGTTTTGGAAAGTTTTCTTCCACTATTTCATGGAACACATTATCAATGCCCTTATTACTTTCATCACCTTCTGGGATACTGATTATCTGGATGTTTGGGTGTTTAATGGTATCTAGTATTTCTCATATATTATTCTCATTTTCCTTCCTATTTACTCTGTCTTCATGTTGGTTTTTTCTAGGTCAGAGGTTTTGTCTTCTACATCTGAGATTCAATCTTCTTCATGCTCTAATCTGCTTTTTTCACTCTTTCTGTGACAGTTTCATAAGGACCAGGAGCTACAACAGATTCTGAAATGGGTAGAAAAGTTCCCGAGTGCCTGTCCTCGTTGGCTATGGGGGAGCAAGGTCCTTCTACAAATTTATGACCCAGACTACATGAAGGTGATTCTGGGGAGATCAGGTGAGAGTGAAACCCACATCCCAGCTGGAAAACCTATCCCTCTTGGGAATGAGCTCCAGGACTGTGAAATTACAGGAGAACGTGGCAGGTCAAACATCATATCTACCTCTCTACCAACATCCATTAAGCACAAACCCAGCATAAGGCCAACTATATTTCCTGAGTACTGAATCTTTCAGATAAAATAGGTATGGAAGCAAATACTATTTTCTATTTTGTTAATTTTGTTTTTCACTTTTTAAAACAAATTGAGATCATCCCTTAGATAAACTTCCTCAAATATGAGAGGTAAATGTCATATTCACACTAATTTGGGTTTAGAATCTCTGATTATTGCCCATCCTGGGTTGGGGTGATAATATAGCCATCTATAGGATACCCAAAGGCTCTGTCTCCTTTTTGGGCATAGAGGATACAGCCTATGCTATACACCAACTGGTCATTGTGATCCTATAGGTGTTCTCTTGCTGGTACACTGGGTCTGCCTTTCTGACTATACACTGAACTTCAGGATAGGTTAAGAGAAGGGAATGGGATGCAAGTGGGAGGTGAATTTGGACAAATTGTCAACTAACAGACCGCAGGAACTGATGGCAGCAAATGATCTGAACCATAGCTCAGATGCTGCCTTATTTGGTTGCCCAGTTACTCACTAATGTGCTTTTTTTATTTTTTATTTTTTTATTTCATTTTCTTCCATACATTCAATCACATTATTATTTGCCTTACAAAATGGATATTTAAACAGGTGACTAATGTGCTTTTTTATCTTCCAGATCCAAAGGCTCATGGTACCTATAGATTCATGACCCCATGGATTGGTATGTATATCTAACCAGGACAGTGATCTGCTTGCCAACTAGGTTTCTCAAGAGCTGTATCTTTGGCTCTCAGAGAACAACAGGTGACAGGTGCCACTGTCATGATCTCATCCCTAAATCCTGCCTCATTTTTCTTCTTTTAATCCTTCTAGTCACTTCTTTTTCTTGAGAGGTTTTTGCTATAGGACATGTGTGCTTTCCAGAAAGACAGAGAGAGACAGAGAAACAGAAAGCGAGGAATCACCTCCTGGGGGGATGGTCATGCCTCAATTCCTTCTACTCCATTCTTCTCTCAGTATCTTGGGCATGCACACACACATGCCCAGCGTGAATTTAAGCCACCGGGTCTGAGACTCGAACCACCGTCAACCACATGAGAGTCCAGTGACATAGCCATTATGCCAACTGCTGGTACCCCTTCTAGTCACTTCTAATTCTTTCTTCTTTTAATCACATCCCTTCCTATAGATGGAGTGAGCTCCCTGAGCTCAATTCCTTTCCACATCTCTTCTCAGTTTTCTCCAAACACCACAGCCAGTTACTGAAGTCTCTCCATGACCTTTCCCCTACTCTTTTCAATCCTTATGTCATGATCATCATAATCACCTGGGTGTGCTAGCCCAAATGGGAAACTCACATTCCTGTAATAGTCTGTCGCTTTCTTACCTTCCTCCAAGAAATTCTGTATTCATCTGAGTTTTCTTCCCAGAGAATCACACTTCCTCCCTTTCCTCCAAAATTGTCTCGTCACCCCTCTGATCATATACCTGACACACACACAAACTCACACTCATCTGGTCCAGGGCGTGGTTTGCTCCTGTTGGAAGGACAGACATGGTTCCAACGCCGCAGGATGCTGACCCCAGCCTTCCACTATGACATCCTCAAGCCCTATGTGAGGCTCATGGCAGACTCCGTCAAAGTGATGCTGGTAAGCCTGTATCTCTCTCAGCTCCACACACCTACACATAGCACACACCCTCTGATTCCACCCAAATGCCTGTGTCTCCCAAAAAGATATCAGACACTACATGGACTAACACTCCCCAACTCAGACGTACACAGCATACCTCTGAAGACCATGTGTCCATTGTTAAGGGTTCAGACACCCTTCTCTGTCAGGGCCCGTTTGCTATCATAGACACATCCACCTACTATCAGTCAACCAATGTGACCCTCACATTTGTTTTTTGTTTTTTGTTTTTTTTTTTTTTCTTTTTTTGGAGGGGTTTTAGATGAAGGGCATGTGCACTCGCCAGAAAAACAGAGAGAGACAGAAAGCGAGAAATGACTCCCCAGGGAGGATGGCCACACCGCGATCCCTTCTCCTGACCCTCACATTTTGACATGCTGTGTTCACTGCACTTAGAGATACAGATCCAGATACACCACTGGCACTAACACACATATAGACACACAAAGATGTGTCTGACAGACACGCTCAAGTCTACAGATATATATACACTGGCAAATGTGGCCACATATTCTGGCTTTCCAAACTTAGAACATGAAGAGCAGGCAAGCTTCTTTTCACTGGTGTCATTACTTATAAGTGCTATCACATTGGGGATGGGTCAATGAGATGCTATCTCAGGAGGTTTTCAGGCAGAGGCCCCAATGGCTCTGCTATTCAGGAGAGTCCATTGGAGGGGACAGTCTTCCCGTAGATGCCCTGGGCAGTGGCAAGTTCATTGGTGAGGGGGATCCCAAGATCTTACTCAGCCAGGATCTGCATGAATTTGTACCTCTCCGTGGAGTGAAAATGACACCAGGTCTTCTTCATGCTCAGTGCAGGTCCTGCCACATAAGTGGAGACTCTGATCTCTCAGCTGTGCTAACTAAAGTCTGATAAATAACAGAAAATTAATGTTCCTGATGTGCTTTCTTTAGTTGCCCCCTCATACTGGTCCTATAAACTTCTCTTTCCTGGACATATTTGCTCCTTAAAGTTGGAGTTCACCTGTCCCTCTTGCATATCTTACAATTAGAATTTTAAACAGTTACTCTGCTCTTTGTATCCTGAAAAACAATGTTTTTTGGTCTACAAAAAGTGCTGATCTTCATAACTTGTTTCTAAAATTGGAAGTAAACCTAAAATATTATGAGCCAACAGGTTTCATTTTATTTAAAAACCAAAACCAAACAAACTAACAAACAACTGTGTAAGAAAATAAGCACTAGTTTATAAACACTTGATTTAGACCCTTGGTATGCTTTGTAAATCGAGGAAATCACATCAGAATATATAGAGACAGGGGGAAAAGTCCAGCCCTCTTAGCACATGACTCGTGAGGAAACTGAGAAAGTCCATGTTCTTTTGCCCCACAAGGACAAATGGGAGAACCTCACTGACCAGGACACTCCTCTGGAGATCTTAGGACACATGTCCATGATGACCTTGGACACCATGATGAAGTGCGCCTTCAGTTACCAGGACAGAGGCCTGGACAGGTCAGTTTTCATCTTTTAGCTGTGGGTCCTTGTTCTCACAATCTGCCGTGGATGCACTTAAGAGGTAGATGGAACAGCTCATGTGCTCACCTCCACATGAAACAACATTCCATTCCACCCTGAAAAAGCTCTAAATCTGGCTGCATTCATGAATCCCTGATCCCTATCATGAGAATAGCCTGACTGCTCATGCCTTTATATAGAGGCCAGGAAATCACAAGGGATGTAGGACAGAAGTGATAGGTGCCTCTCCATGACCTGTCCCCACTGTTTGGGTGAATTTCCACCCAGAGTCCCACTCTGCCTATGAGTAGATGGCATCCTTTCCATGCTGGTCCTTTCTGTACCCTCTCCTCTCAGGAATACCCAGTCCTACCTCCAGGCCATCGGAGACATGGGAAACCAATTATTTTCTCGTATGAGGAATGCCTTTCACCAGAATGACATCATCTACAGACTGACCCCTACTGGCCGCCGTGTCCTGCACAACTGCCAGCTTGCCCATGAGCACACAGGTCCTGTCTCTGACTCCTGTCTTCTGACTCCCTTACTGCATACAGCCCTAAGGAGCTGGCTTGACTTGTCAGGCAGAGCCAGGTACCCTGGAATCCCTGAAGATCCAGACTAAGCTTAGGCTGGGGACTTCCTTCATGTGGAGAGAGGGATCTGAGTTATTGTTGTGTCAGGTAGAGTGCAGGGGCTACATGCATCTGCTCACTGGTCTTATTGACTGTGACCTCACCCCACCAGCATTCAGGCAGAGGCTCCATGGACTGTGCTCCTGAGTTGATGCACAGCTGCTGCATGGTGTTAGAGCCCTCACTATGACCCATACACCACACCCACACTTAGCCTGAGCTCTACCTAGTACCCAGATTGGGGCAGGCAGGACAGATGGGGCCACTAAAGGCTGCAGTAACGCTCATATCTACCTGGGAACCACTATTCTGCCACAGACAGAGTGATCCAGCTGAGAAGGACTCACCTGCAGGAGGCTGGAGAGCTGGAGAAGGTCAGGGGAAGGAAGCACTTGGACTTCCTGGACATCCTCCTTCTAGCCCAAGTGAGTGTGTGGAGGACAGACCTGAGGCTGTGCCCAGAAGCAAGAGTGTGGGACAAGCCCTGTATTCTCCCTGTGGTTCCTACAGGCAGAGCGTGTGAGCAGTTTGTCTGACCAGGACCTCCGTGCTGAAGTGGACACATTCATGTTTGAGGGCCATGACACCACAGCTAGTGGCATATCCTGGATCCTTTATGCTATGGCCACTCACCCAGATCATCAGCAGAGGTGCCGGGAGGAGATCCAGAGTCTCCTGGGGGATGGCGCCTCTATCTCCTGGTAAGTGAGTGCTTGGTCATGGGGGAGCCCTGCCGACTTGTTATGGGTAAGCTTCCAGCCTACTTGAGCCCAGCACATCCCACAATGGGTTCCTTTCAGGGACCACCTGGACCAGATGCCCTACACCACCATGTGCATCAAGGAGGCCTTACGACTCTACCCTCCAGTACCTGGTGTTGGCAGAGAACTCAGCAAACCCATCATCTTCCCTGATGGGCGCTCCTTACCCAAAGGTATGAGCTCCCTGACACTAACTAATACACATACCTCATGGGGACACATGGAGGGCCAGAAATCCAGGTGCGCTTTAGTCTTTCAGAACTTCTCTGACTCTGCCTTTCCTCATCAGTAACACTGGTATGTGCTTTGTGGTTAGAATGAGGTGTATGAAATCTCCAGCCCAGGGCTGGACCACAGCAAAAGTTCAGTAAGTATTAGTATCTCTTTCTTTGTATAAAAATTTTCTTAAATTGTATTAGATGTTGGCCTAGATGATCTGTAAGATCCATTCCAACTGGTAATTTCATAGGAATAAAATCCAAAACTTGCATTGTTCTCCGGAGCTAATATTTTACCCCCTTTAGAATCTATTGTCTTACCGTATGTTTACCTTCATTTTAGTGGCACTAGCTTTCTTTGATTCTAACATTCTTGGATTCTGTTTCTGAGTCAAAGTTTACAGTAGCCAGAAACCACTCTGTGCACATGTGCTCACCAGAGAGACAGAGGAAGAGAGAGAATGGAAGCAAGAAAATACTCACATGGAGTATGATCACACTTCAGTCCCTTTTCGTCCATCTCTTCCTCCTCTCCTCCTTTTGGGCCTTTGGACACAAACACACAGATTCCTAGCATGTTTTTTAAGGCATCATATCTCAGACCACATAGCTGACCATGTGGGATCTGGGTCCCTTAACCACCAGGCCAATTTTTACACTTTTTATCATCTTCCAAATTTGGCATAGTATGTGAATACCTCAGCTTTGATGAGTGGAAACTGATGTACCTAACAGTTGATATGATGATGCCCAAGTCCTTGCAATTGTCTCCCCATGGATGTCTCATCTGTAGCTCTGGATGTGATCTTGGGACGTTATCTCTAAAATTCTCATTCTCTGAGACATGGAGGACTGGAGAGGATTCTGACATGATTAGGATGTAGAGGTAAACGAGGGTGATCAGGAATACAGTGTCTCAAATCCAATTTGGTCCAGTCTTGAGGAGCCCTCAGGGTGATGGCAGAGAGCAGCTGATGACTAGATTTGTGGCCCTCACCATGGTTAAAGGCTGCCTGATGGCTCATCCATCATTGGGTCCAACCCCAGCTGAGTCACAGCCTAGCTGTGTGATCAAGGGAAGTCGCTTTGCCTCTCTGAGTGCAAACTGCCTTGACCGAAAACTGAGGAGATGAAAGTGCCTATCTTGGGAATTGTTCTGAGGACTTAATGTATTCATGTATTTCCCCAGCTTATTTTGGGAAGAATGTACAAATTATAGGGTGTCACTGGAGCTACTATAAGTAGGAAGCATCTGGTGCTTTCTTACTTTAGTCCTAGGCTGTGGCATTCTGTCATTCCTTTGTTCAGGGCTTCCTAAGCCAACTCTCTTACAAAAAGATCATATTGTTAAAAGAAATGATTTCTGTCACCCAAGTTACTGTATAGCCCTATGCTGGCTAGAGATCAAGTCCCACCCTTTGGGTCTGGTCATTCTCTCTCTCTCCTGTTTGTCCGACAGGTATCATGGTCTCACTGTCCTTTTACGCCCTTCACCACAACCCGGAGGTGTGGCCAAACCCAGAGGTATGACAGTCCTGGGAGGAGGATGTGGGAAGGTCTCTTTGAACCTGCTCTTCTACTTCCTCCTACAATTGGGTGTCCTGTCCCCTCATGAGATGAGAGCAGAGGTTTACCCCTACCTGTCCTGGTCCTTTTGTTCTCTCCATAGGTGTTCGACCCTTCCCGCTTTGCACCAGGTTCTACTCGACACAGTCACGCTTTCCTGCCCTTCTCAGCAGGGTCCAGGTGAGATGTCATGAGTGTAAGCTTTGGGTTGGAGTTCTCACCTGTAAGGGTTTCTGAATGTGTGTGGTTCCCCACATTAATAGATTGTATCTTCAGTCATTCCCTTGTTAGTGTTATGGTAAGGTGGGCTCGTGTGGCATTTCTCTGCACACCCAGAGTGCAATTTTGGAGTACACCAAGGAGACGTCGACTCACCGCTCATCCACTGACAGGCAACACTCACTGTCACTGCCGGTTACCAACTCATTGCACTCTATTTTCCTCCTTTTAGAGATAAAACGTTACAAATTAGTTTTTCACATATAAATTGAAATGTAATGTTTTGACCTTTATAATTGGACCTTGTGCCCTGGAGTGCTGGTTTGTGAAACAGAGACATCAGGCCTACTAAGATCAGAGGTGGGGACAGGGCCATCCTTAGAACATTTGTAGACTTTTTCGAAGACCCTGGAGACCATGAAATGGGTCTGGATTGTAGGTGGAGGTAGGAGGGGTGACGGCTGGGCCACATGAAGGAGAGACCTGAAAGCTCAGCTCAGAACCAGGCCTGTGGCTACTTCTCACTTCACTGTTCCCTCCTGGCCCAGGAACTGCATTGGGAAACAATTCGCCATGAACGAGATAAAGGTGGCCGTGGCCCTGACCCTGCTCCGCTTTGAGCTGCTGCCGGATCCCTCCAGGGTCCCCAACCCAATAGCACGTATCGTGTTGAAGTCCAGCAATGGGATCCACCTGCGTCTCAGGAAGCTCCGCTCACCCTGATAGGGACAACTGCAGGCTCTGAGGACTTCCGTTTGCCATGCCGTCTTCCTGTCTCCTGCTCTGGCCCCCTGCCCACATTTTGCTTGTATCTGCCCACCTGACCATCTTCCCACCTGCCTGCTCCTGTGTCTTGTCTGTCTGTCTGTCCTGCATTCTCTCATCTTTCTCCAGGGTCCTTACCTGCTTGTTCCTTGACTTCTTTCACCTGCGTCACTGCCAGTCCACCTCCCTCTTTATCACTGTCCACCTTGTCTGCCTGTCTGACCCTTCCCTTTGCTTTTTTGACTGCTTGTAGTTCTTGTCTGAGTTCCCCTTTGGTGCTGCAATAAACTGACACATCCTTAGTGAACTAAAACAACACACATTTGCAATATTATTGTTCTGGAGGTCAGAAGTGTAAAATGAGTTTCACTGGCCAAAACCAAGTTGCTGACTTGCCAAATCCTGTCTGCAGGTTCTAGAGGAGCCCCATGCCCTCAGCTGCTCAGCTCTAGAGGTGCAGTTCTTGAATTCCTTGGTACTGATCCTTTCCTTTCTCAAGAGCCAGCAACCTCTTTGGATCCCTCTCTTTCACTGTCTTTACACACTCCCTCTATTAGGACTCTTGTCATTATGTGAAACCCCTTTGGATGATTTCTCCACATTAAGATTCCTTACCAACATTGTCAAAGTCTGTTTTGACATATGAGTTTGTATATTTATGGGTTCTGGGGAGTAGGAGGACTGTGATATGGAAGCCATTGTTCAGGACAGTGCAGTACCTACCTGTCACCTTGTCTGTCCATTGACATCTCTCTGGGCAGTACCCACCCACCCGACTGTATTTCCACACCCTCTCTGTCTTTGCTCCTCCCTGGAATAACATTCACAAGGTTGAACATAGTGTCCAGCTTCCCTTGCAGGGAGGTGGAGAGAGTAGAGGAGAGACAGAGGGAAGGATAGCAGAGACAAGCCCCTCTGGGGAAGGAGAACAGAAGAATCCAGGCTTCCTGACAGGTCCTCCCCCTTCACACAGCCTCATGCCATGTGAACCCTGACACCACACACCCTACGGAGCTCTCAAGGCCACTGGCAAAGGAGTATGGACAAAGGTTCTTCTCTAGGAGCTCAGAGAGAAGCTTGCACCTGTGGTCCACTCCATTATATTGGGCTAGCTTGTCTTTTCTTCCCATCAAGAAAATTTATTTGTATGTATGTGTTACACCCCCAGGGGAAAAAAAATCCCAGGATTTTCCCTCCTATATCTTTCTGTCTCACTTCTTTGTGGTCCATGTTGCCAGCTGAGGATATCAGTGCAATGAAACCAACTGACTGGATGGCAACAGAGAATTCTGTCATTTCTTTACATCTTTTCATTGTTAGCATGTTCCGAGTGTAATTTTTAAAAATTTTATTATTATTTCAATTTATTTTATGCAGTCATTCATTGTCTCTACATCTTTGAGCTGCATATCAAATCTGGGCCGACCACTCCACATTTGTTTAGCCTGCTAGTTAGGTTCACATTGATTTTTCCCTGTGGTCATGGATGATTTCAAATTTGCCAGTGTAGCCATGCTTCCTCATCACAGTTAGATCCCGGATAATGACTTTGGAGCATTGTCCTGGTATTTGCCTCTCTTTTTGGTGTTGTTGATGCTCTTGAGAGCATCAGCCATACATTCATATGCACCATTTTGGTGTTCCAGTAAAGATGGTGGAAAGTTCTGGGCTAGCTTTTCTCATACTCAATGTTTCAGAATGGAGTCAGGCCCTGAGTCTTACGTGGAGAAGGAAAGTCCTCTAGCCAGGCTGGCACGAAGGCCTCAGGGACTCAGCTTCTTATATTCCCAGTGAGATGAGATGAGGAAAACAAACTCGGCCATGTGACCAGGCACTGCTGGCTTCCTCATGCTCAGAGTATACCAGCTACCCAGGAGGCTTGTGGAGTGGACTGTTGTCCAACAAGTCTAGATGGCACACAGAAGAGCATGTGGATCTGGTCTTTGAGACAGGAGATCAGACCCCAGCAGCACCCTGCTTCCAGGACAGCCTCTTACTAGTCCCCTGCTTCCTTGGATGGCAACCCTGAGGGAGGAGGAATGTCCTGAGTCTTGTCCTCGCTTGGTTCCTCTCTGGGTGCTAGTGTGCTGGCTTGAACCCCATTCCCAGTATTCAGACTCTGTGCCCTCGCTCTGGGTTCTCTGTGCTAGTGTCCCTACTTCCTTGCTCTTGCAACCATACCCTGCTGTGTTTGCCCAATCTAAACATAGGTGGTCCTATCCCTCCCCTGCCCACACCTACTTTCCCACATTGGTGACCCAGAATCTATACTGGAACATTTGCTCCAAGGCTTTGCAGGAGTGAGCTGGTAGCCTTTGACAGACCTGCCTAGGGTAGGGCCTTCTTCCAAGAAGGGAAGCATCAATAGCAAGAAGGATGTATCTCTAGATGGGACATTCCCTGGGCACCAGACAGACAGCCTCATCCAAGAGCTGGACTTCCTCTCTCTTGCCCCACCCCTTCCCCAGTCTTAGGTATGTGTGTCTTTCTACACTGTACAGTTCTTTCATTAGAGCCCACTAATGGTACTTGACTTTGAACCATAAAGCTGTGTGTGTTACCAGCCACCAGACAACTGCTACAAGAGATGACCAGGAAAGATCTCTAAGTCGTCTTGTGGACCTGAGGCCCTCCATAAAATCCCTTCTTTTCACCTTCATACCTCACTTATGCTGGATTTCAGATGGTTTAAAGGAGCTCCTTTCCTCCAGGAAGCCGTATCCTAATGCCACTCTACCCACTTCCTCAGTCTAACTATATGCCCAGGATACTGTCTGACTAGGAGACACAGACACTGACAATGGCAGAGGTACTACAGAGATCCATCTCAGGAGAGGCAGAAAACACACTAGTGAAACTGTATTCCATAGTCCATGACTATGGTGGTGATCAAAAAGAGTTTGCTTTTAGTTTTTGTTGTTATTCTGTTTAGTCTTGATTTAGGCACCTTTTACTTATGTCAATTATATTACACACACACACACACACACACACACACACACAAGAACACATCACAGTGAAGGGTCAATTCCTAAGCCATTCCTCTGTTGTGTGGTAACTGGCCATAGCCATAAATCTCAAGGCCAAGCTTCTACTGTGTTCACCTAGAACCACTAAAGACTTAGACATAAGTTTCTGCTAGAGAAAGATTGCCAAGTGTAGGAGGCAAATGGCCTATCTTTCTCAAAACAAGTACATGCTCACCAAATGTTTGTTGAGTGAATGAGTGAGCTCCCCCTATCTCTTTCTCAAAACAAGTACATGCTCACCAAATGTTTGTTGAATGAATGAGTGAGCTCTAGAAACATGCACATTGACCATTTATAGACACACATTTTTATCTGGCACTGATCTTCAGGTGATTGTCTATGTCAGTGCCTGCTCTCATCTAATCCAGTCTTCTGAAGACAGGGAGCCACAACCACTCCACATTCAGCCTGAGCAGGGTGGTACCAAAAACGGGCCACAGCTGTGAGGGGTCCACAATGAACTCAAAGTGGGGCAAGCCAGTGAGCCATGATCACCTTTATTTTATTCAGGGGAAATTGCTACCAAATGCAGTTCTTGCTGTGAGCAGTGTGAAAAAGAGATTGGATACAGGGTCCAGTGAAGATATCATTAAAAAGAAAAAAAAACTCAGCCAATTTTATTGAGTGGAATTTTAATTAAGCAAATCTTAACATGATTCAAATTGGGCATCTGCCCCTGACCAACTTCCAGACAACTCTATAGAGCCTTGCGATCACATGATATTTAGTTTTGGAAAAGCAAAGTGATGTGTACAGGAATGGGAAAGTGACATACAAAAATGAAAGGGAAGGATGAAATATAGGAATGATTTGGGTTGGTCACATTCTGAAGTTTGCATGCATTAACACAATCCAAAAGGCAGGATGCCTGTGATTGACCGAAGCCTGGCTGCTGTGATTGGCTGTAACCTAGCAAGAAAGAAAAAAAATGTGAGGTTGCAGTATGTTCCTGAACCAAACAACAGTATGGAGGCTTTTTCAATATTTTTAAACAATATCTCCCTTTTGGTCAGTCTCTCAAAATCTGAGAGAGGTCATTGGTGCCACTCTCTGTCATCATGAGAAATGACATTGTCTTGCTCTTAGCATAGAAATCACAATCAGGGTAGGATTCAGAAGTTTTCTCTAGTCTCTGACATGGAATTTATAAGTCACGATGTCACATGAGTTGAACAGTTCCTTTTCCATGGTCTTACTTATCCACTTGAAGCAATCTATTCAGTGTTTGATGTGTGGCTGCACACAAACATTTAAGACTTGAGAGTATACAATGCACCAGGGGACTGAAATGACTATTTAGATTAACCTCCATAGCTCAGACCTTACTCATTAACAAAATCTTCCATGAAACAAATGAAACTCTTAACAAATGAAACAGATTCAGACCATATAGGCAAATTCGTAGTATTTCAGTTTGGTTGGTCATAGTCCTTCTTCAGAATGCAATGATGATTAAGGATGCTAGCTCTCTATATAACTACCTGATTTTAAAATGTATTTATCTTTGACATAAGTCTAGTAATACAAGTCATAATAACCTAGGGACTATTAGAAGAAATATAAATATAAATATTAAAAACTTTGAAAAAACATAAGCCTTTTGTATCCACCATTTAGGATGACTATATATGAACTGTCAGATATTTTTATGAACACATCATCTGCCCCTTTTTGTTTTTTTGAGAGAGAGATTTTTTGCTATAGGGCATGTACACTTCCTAGAGAGACAGAAGGATACAGAGAGACAGAAAGCGAGAGGTCACCTGCCAGGGGTGATGGCAACACCACAAGCCCTTCTCCTCCATTTTTCTCTTGGGATTTTGGGCACGTACAAAAACACACCAGGTGTGAGCTTTAAATCACTGGGTCCAGGACTCAAACTATGGTCGACTACATGAGAGTCCAGTGTTGTAACCATTTCACCCTAGGAAGGTTTTTATAATCAATATAAACCTGAAACCCTAGGAAGTCTTATTAACTACAAATTTTGAAAATTCTCTCCAGTTATGAGTAAACTTTAAATACAACTGGAATCTCATTACTGCCAAAAGTGAATCTCTAGGAACCTTAATGAAAGGTTAAGGTAAACTAACTTTTTTTGGAAATATATCAAAAATAGCTTTTTACTCTTTCTTTGAGGTTTTAATGTAACTCTCAGTTGAAGCAGAGCAGCATCAGCATCAGTGGAATTGTTTCCTGATCTTTGATTATGGTCTTATGTATTTCCCTGTGTGGGAGAGGAAAGAATTAAGACAATAAGAATTAATAAAAAGAAAAAAAAACACATATAAAGTTTTCATAATGGCAGAGAAGTCTTGATTCATGATATGGGGAAAAACTGTCCAGCTGTCCATTCCAAGATGTCTGTGCTAAAGAAGAAATTTTCTTGGTCAGTTTTATGTTAAAGTCTGCCAGGTGCACAGTTTAAAAAATCTGAAATAGCCCTTCTGAGTTGTGAACCCAGAGTTCAAGTTCTTGAAGCTCTACTGTAGTGTGAATGGTGAGAAGAATTTGATATGCTGTCTTCCAACAGAGCTCATGGGCAATCTTTCTCTGGTGTCACTTCCAGAAGACCCTGACTCTGGACCATGAAG